GCCGAGAATTTATTTAAGAATATCAAAGACACGTCAAACAAAGTCATCAGCAGTGTACAAAAGTAAGCAATAGAAGAACATGTGTTACATGTACATGTATGTTTTATAGTAAGATATTTTTTAGTCTAAAAATGAATTTTGTGTATTTTAAATGCACAATTTTCTATTTTTTGGTCTTTTTTGTACTGATTTTTGCTGATTTATTTTTGCAACTTTTAAAAAACTTTAGCCCACAAAACTTAATTCCTTGCAATATGGAATTACAATGTACAAATTATGGTATTATTATTTGTTATTCTACACTTGTTCTTTTCTCTCTAGTCCGAAGCAAAAGTCAACTGACATTACATACGTGACCAGTCGTATACTAGTGATGTCCTATCCTTTTGAAGAGGGAGGGGTGGGACGTCCCAATGTCCTCAAAGAAGTGGCGGCTTATCTTGAAGGGACACACCCCTCTCAGTATCTCGTGTTTAATCTATCGGGGGAACAGTACGACACTGATCAGCTCAGTGGCCAGGTGGGTGCAGTTACTAGTTAATTAATAGTTATTAAGTATTAATTAATTGATAGGTTGTGGATTATGAGTGGCCTAATAGAGCAATGCCTCCATTGGAGAGTTTGGTTGAGTTGTGTAGACAGTTGGACTCATGGCTAAGAGCTGATTTTAAAAACGTACTAGTAATCCATTGCAAGGTAATATAATAATAATATACATGTATACATATTCATGTACATTATCATGTATATTTTTATTGTATACATGTAGCACAAAATTTTTGAGGACCGTAATTTTTTAAATTTGCCTAAAAATCTATTTTGCGGATTTAATTCTTGCAAATTTATGCCGTCTGCCATCTTGTACCATCATAATTTGATTTTCGCGAATCTTCAAAAAAATAACAAAATCTGCTAAATTTACAGCCCTTGAAAATTTTCTGCTACATGTATATTGTATTTTTTTATCTTATTAACTTTTTAATGTACATGTACTGTAATTATGTACATGTATATTATCTATGCATGTTTTTGTATGTGTAGGATGGTGTTCATCCTTCTGGTATATTGGTTGTGTCTTATCTGTTGTTTCTGAGGGCACTGCCTTCTCCTTCATCAGCTCTCAGATTATTTACTGCAAGAAGATTACCTGAGGGACAAGGAATGGACATATCTCCTTCAGACAGAAGGTAATGAAGGAATGAACCAAGTTCTCCATGCATTGTGCTATGGGGTATTTTGTCAAAAATAGCTAGAAGAGAATTCTTCACTTTTATAATTTTTCCTGACACATATACATGTTGCATAGAAAGTTCGAGCTGGTTCCGATCAAAATTGTATTTTTTACGAATTTTTAAAGTTGCCCCAAAATTGGACAAATTTCTCTGTACTATAGTACAGTGATTTTGGCCAAATTTTGGCCAAAATTGACAAGTAGAGAATTCTTCATTTTTATAATTTTTCCTGATACATATACATGTTCTTGTGTTGTATAGAAAATTTGAGCTGATTCCAATCAAAATTGGATTTTTTATGAATTTTTGAAATTGCTTCAAAATTGGGTCAAAGTCCCTGTACTATTAGTAACGCTGTAGCGTTACTAAGTAGGATTCACCCCCAAACAAAATGGCTGCCACAACTTTTGCAGCCTTGCTATACTGGGAAAACGAGCTCCTATGCTTACCAGACTTTATAGAGGACCTTATCTTGACCAGAGGACTCCAATGGTACAACTAGCGTGGCTCTAGACCTTTTCTAAGTGAAAAGTCAAAAATCGGCGAACCGGCCGTTTTGTTCAGCCACCTTTTTAACGACCTGGGGGCGTAGCCCCCAGGTCGTTCCTATAATTGATTTCACGGTCGCGCTATCTATATATATATATATATTTATTTATTTGTATGTCCACACTTACATTTCTTCTATACATGTTGTATTGGAGAAATAACAAGCCTTAGCAACCCCCGCCCACGCTCCTTTACGTGAGTGGGTGTGGCCACGGCAAACAAAATGGCGGCTTACACAAGGGAC